TATATATATATATATATACTGTATATATATACTATATATATGCATATCATAATGCTGTTTTCTATTCATTCTATTATAGGCAAAATGACAAAAATATTAAATAAATCCTTATTTTGACCTTTTTTTATTTTTTCAGCTTTTTTAATTTCCTTATCAGTGAAATTAAACAACTCTCTTAGCCAGAGTCTGCTCTCTTTGATTAAAAGAACAAAACGGTACTGCTTGTACTAGCCAAGTGAAAATCATCTGTCATAGTAAGATATTGCAGCATCATTTCCAGACAAATTTATAGCACGTTCTTGACACCACAATAAATACCTTCTGTCAACGCAACACACTGTTGCTTCCGCTTTTAGCCAAATAGCCTTGATGGCAGAGGCTCCCTTTTCCACAGCATGTCTGCTCGTAGAATAAACAATGACTTTGTCTTAGTTGCAGCTCTTTAAAGCTAGACATTTGATTTTTTTTATGTTTAATGGACATTGATTTGTGTGCGTTGATTGCTCAGATGAGTTGAGAGACCCTGTTGTCTACTCCAATAAATAGTCTAACCTTCCCATTTAGCCGAGATTACACTGAAATTTTTGACATGACAGAAATGACCTGTTATTCCTCGGTAGGATCCCGTCATTAAGCTCATTAGTTACAGGTGGGTGCAGGTGCCGTTGCCTCCTGGCTGGGTTCCCTGAGGACCGTTACCCACAGCGGCGTCTCAGCACAGACTTGAACAAGAAAACAGCTCTGAGCACATCCCAACTAAAGAGATCTCACACACAGAGGGAAATGAACTGAATAAATCACTGTTGCAGGAGATGATTAGAACCTGTGTAAATAAGAGGAGACCTTCACTCCACAACACTGTTCTTCAACTTTTTTGATGTGCAAACTCTTCTGCTTTTTTAAATGTGGCTGTTCATTTTGATTTGAAATGCAATTCTTCTGTACTGCATGCAGTACACTGTATATTACCCAGTTTTTTATCTGCAGAATTCATGCTAATAGTATGGTACTTTTCCTAACATTTTACTTCTCTTCAAAACCAATTTGGATACCAGAGCTTGCTTACTTGTGTAGTTAGGGATGCACAATATTAAAATTGTGGCTGATATAAGCCAGTAATTATTTTTCATCATATAGCAGATAAACAATAAATGCTACCATTTTGTTTACATTTATTAAAATACATAAAAAATACAAAAAATTAAAATAAGTCATTTCAAGTGATCCAAATCAATTTAGGCATCACAATATTATAATGTGCAGTTTTTAATAGTGTTATTAACTTATTAATGTTTTTTTTAAATAGACCCAAGATTATTTACTATTTATTTACTGATTTACTAAAAAAGGAATAGTTTTTTTAAGTTTTGCGTACAGACTCCAATGTTGTCAAAACAATCCCCATTCACACGGATCTATGAAAATTGGTGAAAATGCTGTATTATGCACTTTGAAAACTATTTTCTAAAGTCTGCATTTTAGGCTCCCAAAACGCTGTTGCTGTGTCATCGAATGGCCAAAATGACTGAACATTTTCAATTTTTAGTTAAAAACAGTGTCTTGTAAACGCCTCTTAGATTATCAAATTTAGATGATGGCAAAAGTATTCTAAATGTAAAAATAGGAGAAATGGGCATGCACAATTCAACATCCAATATCAACTAATACAATAAATGGGGGGGGGGGGGATTGGAAATTTTAAGTTTTATAGACTGACCTAGTATTGATGCCAGGAGTCATCAAAAAAAAAAAATTGGGGGGGGGGGGAATTGCAACTATATAGTTGCAGTATATTTTGCAACCCTAAACTGAAAAAAATAAAATAAATCAAATCTGTAGAAACAATTTTCACTCAGAAATTGCTAGTAAATTTTACAATTAATTACAACGAAATGGAAAGTAGCACAATTAATTAAAAAATTAAATTTTCTTGTAGAACATACTGCATTAATCCAATAATCAGCTTCAAGCAATAGCATAACATGCAGCAGGTAAATGAAGCAGGATTCCTTCTGTGAGTAGAGAAGCCTGTATGGATGTAAAGACCACTAAAGGGCCTGTGATCTCATGCTGTTTTAGAGCTTAACGTGTGAGCTGCTTCACCCACCGTTCTTCAGTTCTTCCTCGTGCGCTCCTGTGACTAATGCCCTCCTCCAGCTCCCCACACACAGCAGCTGGCAGCACTGCCGCTCTCCTCCTCCTCCTCACACACACACACACACACACACACACGAGAACCCTGTGCCCGCTGTAGGATGGTCCTCACCTACACCTCAGCACTCATTACCTGACAATTCTCTCTTCTGCTGGAGAGACCAGTCATGCACCAGAGTTTGCATCATTAAAATGGAATTTAAAAGGCATTTTTTAATTTCAATTAAGGTTTTTAATTTAATTCAATTAAGGTGGAATTTTAATTAAGGTTACAAACATGATGTAAAATTGTAATTTGATTTAGAAAATGGGCAATACAGTTACAATGGAATGCTTTTCATTGAAATTCCTTAACTGTAGTTTTTTTAAATGCAAAATAGAAATGTGCATTTATTTTCCTCTGTTTCTTATTTAATAGCATTTCAGTTTATGGACCATCGTAAAGAACACTTAATTTCCCAGAATACTCTTCTTTTTTTTTTTTTTTGCTGTAATTTATCTTCCAAATGACACCAAAGAATATTAGAAAAGTTCTGGCAAAATTTTAAAAAAAGAAAAATAACGTTCTGAAAATGAAAATGACATCACGGTGCCATTTTTCATGTTAATTGTTTTGACTGTTTTGTGCTTGGGTTTAAAAAAAGTCTAATAAGTTTATCAGATATATTCTACATATTATGGAATAAATAGGCATAATTAGTCAAACGTTATTGTTGTAATTATGTATGTTTTGTCACAAACCTTGTGTTAGCCATGAATTTTCTGTCTTGAAAGTGGATGGGGAATAAACTGTCACTTATCTAGTTTTTTCTTGTGCTTTTTTTAGTTGCAAGCATACAGAGGCTGCCTGCGGTATCTGTGATGACAGACATTAACTTTCCCATGAAGGGACGGAAAGGGATGGTGGACTGGGCCAGAAACTCAGAAGACAAAGTTGTCATTCCTAAAGGAATCTTTGTGCCCCAGACAGCAGGTAATGTACTTGATGCTACACTGTTGAAGTTGATGATACTGAACATCTCATGTCTTGTATAATAAGGCTACGTTAAGTAGATTGTAAAAGCCAGTTTTCATTCGGCGCATTTAAATTCAACAAAGCAGGCCATCAGCATGAGAATCAAGCTGTCAGTGAACGCCAATAGACAATCTTTTTCCAGAAATAATGCTTTAAGTTATATAATTATCACAACAAACTGCATGTTTTAGGCTGACACTGGACATATTTTCTTTCCGCTATGGAAATAACATCAAGGAATTCAAGAAAAAACGGCATGCTATTTAATAGGGAATAATAATTAGAGTTTGTCACACCATGTTGACATTTTGTTTTGTTCTAACAAGTAATGAATCGTAAACCCTATTTGTTCAAAGAATGTAGGAAGAAATAGTAGCTGGTAGACCTGTCTATTTTTCAGAATAGTGCATACATTGATGTAGCACAAGTGATTCTTTAAAAAATGTAAAAATACTGATTGTACACTTAAAGTGAGATTTTTTTGTTGCAAGGTAGAATTTCACACTAGATTTTAACACTTAAAACATTAAACATTTGGCAGACGCTTTTATCCAAAGCAACTACATTGCATTCATGGGTTTACACTTTAGGGTTAACCAGTTACAGGAATATTTTTAATTGTATGTACTAAAGTCTATGTTGGAGACAGACAGTAAAGTTGAAGAATAATTGAAGAATCACCCATATATCTCCTTTTTTATTACTGTTTATATTAGTGCTGTCAAACGATTAATCGCATCCAAAATACAAGTTTTTGTTTACATAATAATATATGTGTGTGTACTCTGTATATTTATTATGTATATATAAATACACAAACATGTATGTATATATTTAAGAAAAATATGTTACGTTTATATATTAAATATATTTATATATAATATAATTTATATGAATATAAATATATACATGCAAATATTTTCAAAATATATGCTGTATCTGTGTGTCTTTATGTATACATAATAAATATGCACAGTACACACATATATTATGTAAACAAAAAAATTTATTTTGGATCCGATTAATCATTTGACAGCACTAGTTTATATATATATATATATATTTGTTTTGGTAGTATTATTTCTTTTATCACTCCACACACACACACACACACACACACAAAACCTCAAATCATCAAACCTACATTAAATATTATTAGTTTGATGAGTAGTCATTTAATATGCAAGTAAGATACAGTACAGCAGGGCAATGTAAAATTTTACATTTGAGGTTTTGATCACCCATTTGGGACTTATTTTGCAATAATGACTTGCTGTTTTTTCTCTACTTACTCATTTTTAAGGCCATGAAAACGCTTTGTCGCTTTGACTTTTTACATTTAAAGTTTACAAATGAAGGCATTTTCTGTTATTTTGGATCATCAGTAGGATATTAAACGTTTTGCAATCGCTACCATGCGATTGTGTTAAAATTTAAAAGCGGTGACACAGTGAGACCGTTTAATGGGATAGCTTTGAGATTACAAGATTACATGTCAAGCGCTTGCCATTTGCTTGTTTTAGAGAAGACTGCACTTGGTCGACCACATCAATTCAGATGACACAGCACTCGCTGTATCCTCTCAAACAATGATAGTAAAGAGAGCTAAGCACCAGCGCACCAGACTATTTACTTAATTAGGGTGATCAGTCTTATCTGAAGTGTATCAGAGGGAAGTAATGAAGGATTGATTTAATACATAACTCACTCCAGCTCGCCTTGAGCCTGACTCAAGGGCTGTACAGAGCTGTTTGAACCAGGATTAGCCTTCCTGTCAGCAGAGAAGACCTTTGCCTTCTTGTTATCAATAACCTTGCTAGTATAGCCTGATCTACCACTTTATTCATTATTGGCAGGAAATGTATGATGGATTAGCTGTCAGGAATATTGTTTGGCAAGAGATCTGATATTTAATGAGTATTTTGCAGGTTTAGAGGTTAATTAATTCCTGTAGCTTTGAAAAAAAGGAATCTTGTTAAATTACTTTGGATTAAAAGATCCCTACATGGAAGTGGGAAGGTACCTCTGAAACAAATCTGCAGTCTGAATGATCAAATAATCATCCATGTTGCTGAGTGAAAAGTTGAAAAGGGAGCTGAGAAAAACAGCTTTGTATGGAGATGATATTTGTTATGATTAGATAATGTGATGCTAGTGTCATCTAACCTAGATTGTTTTCCGGCAGATATGGATGGATCTCCTGTGTTCATTCTTGGAACGGTTCTCTACAAGACTCTTGGTCTGATGCTGCCTGCTCCTCGGTAAGACTCTCCAGTCATTTAGATGAAATATTACAAAGATATCATAATGATATTATAGAGGAGGGATTCCCAACCAAGGATACTTGTACCCTAGGGACTACTTACGTAAGAAGGTTCCTACTTGGAAAGATTTTGATGTATTAAACCTGTAAAATAGAAAATTGACTTGATTAAAATAACTTATCAGGAGTAATTTGATCAAAGTTTCCTTTTAGAAAAAGAAAATCAAGTAATGTGTGTAATGTGTGCAAGTTTATGAATTTATGACACCCGTAGAATATATTTGTTACTTTGTGAGTCCGATTTTTTTTTTCCACTATCAATTATTTATTTTTATTTAAGTGACTAAAAATTAACACTAAAAATGGGTACATTTTTGAAATGATATGATATTTTAAAATATATTTTACTTATGGAAGAAAAACTACTTATGGTCGTTCGGCTTTTGAATTTGCTGCCCCAAATGATTGGAATGTACTACAAAAGTTATTGAAACTAGAGACAAAAATTCCAGTATGTGCATTTACAAAAAATTACTAGTAAGTGCTCTAAGGTTTTAACTGAGATTTTATTCTTATTTTATGTGCTTTATGTATTGTAATATATGTTTGTATGTTTGACAGGAGATATTAATTCTCCTGCCAGGCTGTTATTGAAAATAAGAACTTGTTCTTAATTAACTTACCTGGTTAAATAAAGGTCAAATAAAAATAAAAGTACTTTTTTAAATATAATTTTAAATTAGAAAATTGCCTGTGCAAAAAAAAGTGATGGTTCACTGTTAATGATTTTATAAGGGTTTTCATAAATTGGATGCAGCAAATATGCAAGACTGATGGGGATTCAAATGTAAAAAAAAAAAAAAAACAATAATTGAAACGTTCATGCTGATTTGTTGATATTTGTCCTTTTTAATTTTTATGTATTCTTGTCATATATATGCAGTCATAAACATTTACGTTTTAAAGTCTTAAACATAAAGTTATTTTCTGTATTTTTTAGCATAGGAATTATGCTGCATTCATGTTGGAATTACTGTAATTTCGATTTTCAAACAATCATTACAAGTTTTATCTTAGAAAGCTAAGATTTCTCTATTTGTTTTACTGTATGATATAATTGAACAATTAAAGGTATTTCGGTTTATATTAAATCCTGTTACATGGTGCTCTTTCTTTGATTTTAACTTAATATAGTGATAGACTGTGCTGGATGGCTTGATTTGGCGTCATGGATGTTGCCATAGAAACAAATAATTTCTGTGTCTGAGGATGTGAACTACTCAAAGTAGAATCTGTGAGTTATCATCTCGTAATTTTTGCAGTTTCACAATGACATAATTGCAGCATTATTCCAAGCCTCACATGTCAGCATGGGCATAGCTTGTGGGGGGGCCAGGGGGGCCTGGCTCCCCCATAGTGATTTAAGAATTTTACTAAATATTTATTTATAAAGTTTTTTCTGTGAAGTAAAAATTTATATAATGCAGTTAATAATACATGTAAAAGTGAATATGTAAAAGTTAATACATTTTAAATTGTTGTTGTAAGTAAATTAATAAATCAAAACAAACTTAACGTCTCCCTCAATCTCATTTGCGTAAGAATTGTCACGTGGCGAATCTGCATTTTGGTGGATAATAGACTTAACGGTAATGCTTGCCTGTTGTGTGGAATAAAATGACGCGTTTTTAACAACATACACTAACTGCAGAGAAATCTGGAGACAACGAAAAACTCTGAAAAAATCGAAAAAAAATGATTCCGGACTCGGACAATCAGATAAAGGTGATCCACAGGACGCAGCCGGTTTAGCCGCACACTACTTTTATGCCGACCATTTACATCCAAATGTTATTTAATTTTCACAGAACACAACCTTTAAATAGATTTTAGAATATAAACTGTTTATCGTCTATTCAACAAGACTAAATAAAAAGTGTGCGCCTCATTGTGCGTTATCTTGAATCAAGCCCAACAAATGTCTGTTTTAAAAACAGTGGATGAGTAATTCACTCCTTGATATGATTAATAAAAGCCTCCTTTGAGATCGTTTTGACAGACATGTTTATTGTGCATTTTAAACGTGTTTATTGCTAAGTTTATTGTGGCAAAATAGAACCGCAGCTGTAATTCGTGGGCAATGTATGTGGTTACTATGAAAACCTCATGCACTTGCCACTGCTCTATGTGAATGTGAATATGTAGATTTACTATAGCAAAACTAAAATGTGTTTAAAAGTACGTCTGGCCAATTCCACCGGTTCGGTTTGGCCCCCCCAAACTCAAACGTCAAGCTACGCCTATGCATGTCAGGTGCAGTCATTGTTTATTATGGTGCTAATAAGGAATCTGTCCTTATTGTTTGTCCTTGTATGAAGCTCAATTATGTGACTAATGTGTTAAAGCCCAGTGACAAATACTGTAAACGCAAAAAACACAATCATTTGTTTTTAAGGAAGCTGTTTCTTCAAATTCCTTGTGATTTTCCTCTAGTCCTAAATACAGAAGCTGGTACAACAAACTACAGTGATTTCACTCCCAGCCTAAATGTCAGAATGAAAATTCCTGGTTATTCTCAGAGTCCATCTCGAAGCTCGGGATCAAAACGTTCTGTTCCATTTGAGGACTTCTACTCGAACCTCCAGAGACACACAGGACAGAACAGACCTTTCCTGGTGTGGCTCTGAGCTGTCAGTCAAACCTCAGCAAACCTGAGTATGATTCCTCCGTGGGATTCCCACTGACAGGGAGAGAGTTCATGGAAGAACAGAGAAAAAGGGCGGTCCTCTGTTCTTCAGCTCTGTTGGATTCACTGAAGCCAGTAGGGAGATGGAGATCAGTACAAACAGTAGAAGATAACAGAAGAGAAGTGTTACAAAGAAACAAGCAAACAAAAACAATGCAACATAGCAGAGGGATTTGTAAAAACTCCATGGATCCTTGTTTTTAGTGTGAATAGTTACAAGAAATGTTTTTTTTTTTTTATTTTGGAAAAATTTTGATTTTTATCCTTATGTGGAAATTTATACCAGAACGTCCAAACTGTTTCTTTTTTTCTTCTTCATATAATGAAAATAATTAGTCACTATGGCTTTCAGATACACTGAGAAAATGTCTGTTGATCATACTATGAGAATCATCAGTGTATAAACTCCATGGATCCTTGTTTTTAGTGTGAATAGTTACAAGAAATGTTTTTTTTTTATTATTTTGGAAAAATTTTGATTTTTATCCTTATGTGGAAATTTATACCAGAACGTCCAAACTGTTTCTTTTTTTCTTCTTCATATAATGAAAATAATTAGTCACTATGGCTTTCAGATACACTGAGAAAATAAATTGGTGTAGAAGCAATTTTCACCCAGAGATTGCTAATAAATGTATATATATATATCTGTAAAACATACTCCAAGAATCGTCCAATAATCTGTTTTATTTACAGCTCAGAACAATGTTTACAGTGTAAGATTTTCAATTAATTTAATTTTCAGTCATTTGTATACCTTCAATATATTGGAATATAGTGTGCAAATGTAGTTATATGGACCACTTTAATAATACCTTTATGGTGCTGTTTATCTTTTGGAGCTTCACAGCCCCTGGTCACTATTTACTTTCATTATATGGTAAAAATCTTGAACATTTTGTTCAAAATCTTCTTTTGTGTTCTAGAGGGTTGTTACTAGACCCTTTTTACTGGGGTCTGAAATTGTTGACGATTCAGTTTGATTCATTCGTACAGTTTACTCATGAACTGAATTGTTTGCAGTGTTTTTTTCACAATACAATAATAACAAAATAATATGACAGAAAACAAAAAGAGCACTGAGTGAATATTTACCTACAGTCCATTGTAGGAAACAAAACGGTCTTCTACAACAATGGCAATGCAGCTCTTTTTTTGCACATGCAGCTTGTGAACGGCTTTTAAAAGACTGTATATCCAAAACAGTATTTAAAAGGATAATATCAAAATATGGGCTCACTTTTTTTGATAGTGGGCCTGTGCCCCAATACTGATGAAATGCTAGAAATGTCCCTGGTGTTCCATGATGACATGATGGAGTACATAATTGCAGAATTTAATTTTTTTGATAAGCTTCTCCTTTAAGAGTCTTGTGTTATTTCATGCCTTTCAGGTTGTGTGAACAATCATGACACCATGCAGCACCACTTCTGCTTGATTAAATCAAACCAAGAGGCTGGCTAACCATGCACAGATAATGTCTTTGATCCAATCTGTACATTTATTTTGAAAGGAATCTTTTTTGCCTTTAGGCTGATCTACTTACAGACAAAGACAAATGTATTTTCCATGGCAACATCTTCTCAATTCATATGCATTCTGAATACCATAATCAAAAATAAAAAGAGTGTGACAGACTGTAAAATAATGTGAGGAGTATATGTCTCAGATAGCATCTTTGTCATTGCTTTTAGAAAATCTTTTTTCACTGCAGAATTTTGAGAAGCTACTTGTTGGGCATCCATTTTCTATCTTTGCTTCTTTTTAAATGGACCATGAAATTATGCCCTAAACAGTTCAATTTGACAAATGGTATACAAGGAAAAATGTTAGAGGAGGAGGATGCAAGGAGAGAGCTGTTGAGTGTACTTGAATCTTAATATCAAAATGATTTTGCACCCCTGTTGCATTAGATAAGAGCACTTGAATGTTTAAAATGTATGCATAGCCAACCAATATTGGTTTTAATCATGAAATTAAAAAGTAATAAAGTACATAAAAGTGTTTGGAGTAACTTTTTTGGTCTAGTGATGACAAATGAGTGCTTTTCATCTCTATGTGATCGTTTTACCCAGAGGCGATCGTTTCGAGTTAATCAAAAACTAAACAGATTTCAATTTGTCAATGTTTAATATATTATAACTTTGTCCATCTTTAGAGTTGGATCTTGAATGATATTTAATTTATTTATAGTCTAATGATTTCACCCTCTAAAAAAGTAGTCAAGCATATCATCATTTCTGGCCTCTGCTAACAGAAAATATCTCATCTGAAGTGAAATAGCAAAAATCACGTCCTCACACCGATTTTCTAAACTGAGTTCAACCTGGAAAGACAGTTCTGTGCTAAATGAGCCATTTCCATTATAATGTGCAGAATGGGGAGTTTAAACAAAAATCAATGCTGATGTTAATGGAAGTATTGCAATGAATGAAATTAGCATTTCTCATTCAAGCGTGAACTGACTGTTGTGTGTGGTTTGATCTAACCCACAGGAATAACACTGCTGTGAACTCGAAAGTGATTGCTGTGACTGTCCGACCAGAACCCAGGGTTACAGAAGCCCAGCTGGAGATTGAGTTAGCTCATCTAGCTAATGTAAGCACCAGTCAGATCTCAACACACTTCACAAAAACAATCCACAGAGGCTAATTAATGCTGACATGGAGGTCACATATATTTTAAAACCTCCTAGTTTTGGACTATTTTACTGTTTCATTGGTATGTTGGTTTAAGGAGCATATGCCATTTATTTTACACAAGGGAAGGAATCTACAGCCTTTATGTCCCAAAGATCCTCCATTTATGGAATATCATCAAAATCGTTTTAATAAGTCAGGTAGAAAATGACTTGCATCTTATGTGGATTGTTTTTTTATTTTTATTATTATTTCAAAAATTACAAATACTTTTATTTATTTATTTATTTATAGTGCAAAAAAAACTAAATGTGCAAAAAAACCTAGTTCGTTTTTCCCTTATAGAAGTAAACATCTGTGGAAATCGTGGTTTGTTCTCTTTAACACATATTCACAGAATAATCTATTATTTGCATCATATCATAACCAATCGATCTACTATAGAAAGCAGCAATGGTAAACACTAACATGGCATAAAAATAATGTTGAAATTATATATATATATATATATATATATATATGGTCAAGAAATGTGAGAAATGTGGTCTTCTGTTCCTCTTTGAATCACTACAGCCAATCAAAGGGAGCTCTACAATGCCTGTGTCATTTGTTTCAGGCCCATTAATCAACAGACAAATAGCAGTAATTAGTCCAATAATTAATTTGCCATCACCAGTTATTTCTCTCCTCATTGTGTCATCAAGATATGGCCCAGATGATTACAATGGGAGCTCTTTTTTCTCCACATGGCTTTCTCCCCCTTTCCTGTTTATCTTTTAAATATCTTGACTTATGCTTTGAGATATTGGCTATCGTAGTGAAAATCTCATTTTATTTGCATGTACTGTGATATGTCTAATCATTGAGTTGCATGTCCAATCACAGTATGTGTTTGTTTTCTTGCAGGGAACAATGAATCCGTTCTGTGCACTGTGGGACAGCTCTATTATGTAAGTGAAAGTCAGTTTTATGTGTCCAAGATTGCGTTCTGATTTGTGAAAATGAGCCTTTAATATAATAACTTAATGGCCAATAATAAATTGTGTTGTGCCATTATCCAGCCATTGTATCCATGGAAACGTGTTTCCACTGCCATCGAGGTGAAACAGTGGTTGACATTAGCAATAATATTGATTGTGTTATTCTCAGAGAATACATTTGATAGAAAAATATTTTTGAACATTTGTGGTGCTGTCAGACTCCTCTTATCTTTTCACTCTAAAGTCAACATGAAATCAGAGCTGACCCGGTTTATTTTATTAATGCCTGTCATTGGTCTTATTAAACATAATTCAAGAAAAAAATGTGGTTGTAATCTTGAATCAAATTGATTTAACTTGTTTCTAATGCTAAGCAATAAAACTAAAACTGTTGATATTTCTCACTATTTTTCAGCGCTTTTCAATGTAATAATATATCTTAACATTTAACATTTATTGATTTTTTTTCATAGAATGTACCGTTCCACCTAGAATTGTGGCTATTATGAAATTTTATTTGATGTTGATTATGGGAAAACTGGCCTTGTATTATTGAGAAATACACAAAGTTACTCTGGAAGCATAAGTATCCAGATGTTATTCTGAGGAAACTGTCTCTCAGAATAGATCAAGGACCAGTTTACCTTAACACAACCTTTAGCTTCTACAGGAAACAGAACTGCAGTGTGAGATTGTCACTTCCACCAGTGCCCTTTAAGAGACTGTTTGAGAATAATTACTCCAGTGTCACTAAAGAATGAGTAAAAGATGAAACGGTCAAATCCCCAACCACCACGAGGCATTACAGCCGGCCCAGCGGCAATCATTTTTATAGCTGGAGAAAATTATATGAGGGGTAACATTATGATGCTATAAACCTTATTTTCCCACTTTTTGAAGTGCTTTTTGAAGAAGTACTGTATATACACTACCATTCAGAAGTTTACTTTTTTATTTAAAGAAATTGTTTAGTAAGGATACATTAAGTTGATCAAAAGGTACAGTAAATGTTGCAAATGATTTATATTTCAAATCAATTCTGTACTTTTGACCTTTGTATTCATTAAATTATCCAAAAAAAAGTCACAGTTTCCACGAAAAGGTTAAGCACTGTTTTCAATATTGATAGTAATAAGAAATGTTTCCTTAGCAGCAAATCAGCATATTAGAAGGATTTCTGAAAGATTATGTGACACTGAAGAGTAACGAGTAATTTTACTCTATTATTTTTGATCAAATAAATGCAGCTTTGGTGAGTATAAGAGACTTCTTTCAAAAATATATTAAAAACAATTTACCTTTATTTTATTTTATTTTTTTAATTGATTTTTGCCCATGCAATAAAAAAAGAATAATAAAAAAAAAAAAGTCATGCAGGTTTGGAACAACATAAGAATAAAAGATGATAGAATTTTCAGTTTCTGGTGAACTAACCCTTTAACATGTTTACCGTGTTGATTTGGGTTGTTTTGTTATGATGTTTCTCAGTAATTATATGATATCTGTATAATCCCAGTCATGTAATTATTTACTTATTTAGTCCTGTCTGGCCCATGCTGTAAATTGAAAATGGCTTCTATTTAATCTTAATCATCTTCAAATATGAAAATTACACGGTGCTTCTGAGGCAGTATGAGCCAGACCTCTGTGCGGTGACCGATAAGAACGCAGAGAAATCGTATTTATCAAATTCAATTTTCATTGAATGAAGGGCCACCCGAGTCTGCCCCCTTGAGTGTAATTTGAGCCACTGGAATGGATTTTAGCCCTGTGGTATTATTATATGCGGCTTATAAAGAGGGAGGGGTCTCTGCCCCGAAACGCTCAGGAATATAAACAGGCTTCATATTTGCTATTGAAAGAGTGCCGTTCTTATTAGACTCAAATAATGTGGATTTCATGCCTGTTCGTGATAAATTTAAATAAATTTGCTGTTGAGATTAGTCTCTAATCTGTTTGCATGATTATTTATGTGGACGCATGTTCGTTAATAAATTTGTTCGTTAGCGTGTTTACTCTTTGCACAAAATCAAAATCGGCCTGTGCAAGCAAACAATTACAGAACACAAATGCACAACTCTATCATCTCTCACTAGCATGATTGTGCATATTTTGAGGTGCAATTTTAATTAGCCCCAAGAGATTTTCTCAAACAACGAGGGAAAACAGCTGCTGATTTCGATGACATTCATATCATAACTCTGTGCGTCTCTTCTTGGAAGTCATTATGTATACGCTAGTGTATACAAGCTCAGTGTAAATGAGAAATCTCATGTTTTAACCTCTGACATCTCGGGTTCAGGCAGAGTGGAACATTTAAAGGACTAATTCACATAAAAAATATAATACTCTCATTATTTACTCACACTCTTGTTGCTCTAAACCTAGTATGGCTTGTGATAGTCTCATTTCCATGCATTTAAAATGTCTAGGAACCTGTCATGCTTCCACAGAAGCACCAAGAAAGCATAACAAAAAGTCCTGAAGTCATTCAATAGCTTTATTTTGGAAACGTATTAAAAAAATTAGCTGAAAATTTACTCACCCTTAGGCCATACAAATTGTAGATGAGTTTGTTTCTTCATGGGAGCAGATTTGGATAAATTTAGCATTACATCACATGTTCGCCAATGGATCCTCTGCAGTGAATGGGTGCCGTCAGAATGAGAGTTCAAACAGCTGATAAAACATCATAATAATTGGTATAGAGTACCTGGATTTGTTTCTTACAAACACATCGATTTTCACTTTACAAGATGTTAATTGATGGACTGGAGTCATGTGGATTATTGTTATGTTTTTAGCAGCTGTTTGGACTCTCATTCTGATGGCACCCATTCACTGCAGAGGATCCACTGAGCAAGTGATGTAATGCTAAATTTCTCCAAATCTGTTTTGATGAAGAAACAAACTCATCTACATCTTGAATGGCCTAAGCATGAGTAAATTTAAATTGTTGGTGAATTATTCCTATATAAATATATTATATTTCTAGTTTCTAGATCTCCTAGGCATGTTTATGAGAGAAGCTTGGATTCATAAACAAATTGAATCTTTTCAATGGATTATTTCAGTTCAGTCCCATTTACAGTATTGGTCTGAATTATTTGGTCATGAATCAGACTGATCTAATTCTTGATTTTGACTCAGTGAATCAATTATCCGGTTGCTGTGGTTAATAGCTAACTGGAGAGGAAGATTATCAGTGTATAATGACTTAAATTTTGTTTTGTTCTTCACAGAAAGGAATAATAAGACTGCCGAAAACTTGAAATATAGCACAATTTTTAAGAACCATTTTTGCTCCTGCATCCTTTTGACACTTGAAAGCTTTAGTTCCCCTTTCATTGTAATGGAAAACAGGGCTGGCATAGTCTATTGTATTTATTTTTTTGCGTTTCAAGGAAGCAAGAAAGTCATACAAGTTTGGAAAAACATGAGGTTGGAGGACAAACTGAGGTTAAACTTTGTCTAGACTGGATTTCTTATTCATGAATGCCAGTTGTTGATTGCCATTAACACTGTATTTGTGAGGAAAAACAATGAAGCTTGTTCATTTTGCAAGAAAGTAGTAGGTGCACAGAGGCACTGTTTTACAAAAAAACAATTATGGTAAAGAGTAACAGGAAAAGAAAATGGAGGAAAATGTGTTGTGAATACCTGAAGTCACCATTACAATCCTGTTTGCTTGTAAGCTTTGTTCACTTAAATGGCTTACATTATCCTAAACATGGCTTCAGGATAGCATTTGTATATAATCAGATTCAAAGTATTTCTTCCCCATCCCAGCACAACTGATGAGCGGTTATACACCCCAGCACTGTGAAAATGATAAGTTACCTTGATTTAAAAGCAGAATCTTTCTCTCTAAGGCCAAATGTTGCTTAACTCTGCATCGGTCATGCAGATTCTCGCTTGAATACTTACAACTCTATCAATTTTTGATGTTTAATAATTTACTTTAATTATGCCATGTATGATTATGATAAGAAATCTACCTGTGCAAAGCTTGTGTGTGTGTGCGTGTGAGAGAGAGAGCGAGAGCTCACAATCTCCTGTTTAAGTAATTGCCATTAAATATTTATTTAAATAAAAGTAATACTGGCCATCATAATCTCCATTTGACCTTTCCTATATGTTGCTCAAAGCATTTGCACATGCTCGCATTTGTACATGTTCACATTTGAGATGCAGGAGCATCAGCTCTGGCCTCCTCAATTTGCTACTTGCATTAATAAAATACTTCTTAGCGGTGAGATATTATGCAGATATACCAGGATTGTGCATACAAATTATGGCTTTCATATTATGTAATAATGGCTTCCTCCTCTATTACAGTTCACTATCTTAGATTAATGTATAATATTAATCTTTCTTTTGCCTTTGCTATATATTGCTCGAAGCATTTATATATGCTTTACCATCAGCCATCAGCTGTGGTCTCTTTACTAGTGGATTCAGTAGACAGCAAAACATGACTGTTTTACCCTGTTTAATAATTTACTTTAATTATGTCATGTATGATTATGATAAGAAATCTACCTGTGCAAAGCTTGTGTGTGTGTGTGTGTGTGTGTGTGCGTGTGAGAGAGAGAGCGAGAGCTCACAATCTCCTGTTTAAGTAATTGCCATTAAATATTTATTTAAATAAAAGTAATACTGGCCATCATAATCTCCATTTGACCTTTCATATATGTTGCTCAAAGCATTTGCACATGCTCACATTTGTACATGTTCACATTTGAGATGCAGGAGCATCAGCTCTGGCCTCCTCAATTTGCTACTTGCATTAATAAAATACTTCTTAGCGATGAGATATTATGCAGATATACCAGGATTGTGCATACAAATTATGGCTTTCATATTATGTAATAATGGCTTCCTCCTCTATTACAGTTCACTATCTTAGATTAATGTATAATATTAATCTTTCTTTTGCCTTTGCTATATATTGCTCGAAGCATTTATATATGCTTTACCATCAGCCATCAGCTGTGGTCTCTTTACTAGTGGATTCAGTAGACAGCAAAACATGACTGTTTTACCCTACAGAGTAAGAGGCAGACATTTTTTCTCTGCCCATGTGACCAGTCAGTGAATAAATGGCTCCCGTGTGAAAATGATGGTGTTGTCTGCATCTCAGTGATGCAGCAGGGGCAAAGTTTGATAACTCCTATCATTGCAATGCACAGCTGATATGTCACAATGACTTGTGACTCCTGGGAAAACTGGATTGAGGGGGGTTGTCAGATGGAATTCTGGGGGAAAAGGCATAAATACATGGACTGGATGTGCATTGTGAGAGCATAGTTGAGGCCTGTGCAATTAATACAAGCAACAATTTAAAATGATAGGTAGCCATATGTATTCTGATGAAATACGAATTCTAAATTGTGTTCAAAATGATGGTCAACATCCATTGATTCCCCCACAGTAATTTAAACAACAGAACAAGAGACATTATAAGCACTGGAACAGTCCAGTCATAAAAAAATGTATATGAAAAATTGTAACGCTCAGTATGTCCTCAAAAGTTCAAACTTAGTTGGACCCAATTACATTTTTGTAACTGTAGGCCCGCCCTACAGTTAAAAGACCCAATCACCTTTTTCATAGAAGCATTGCCTCTTTGTTCACTCTTGAGTGTGCATTAATAATACCATTATTTTGCATGATGAATTTATGGCAGCACTGTTATCATATTTAATTTTTTAATTAGAATATAACATTAACATTCAGTTTTGGAGATTTCCATATTTTCCAATTCAAGAAGCTGTTCTTGCATGTCTGGAAATACCTGCCCAGGGCATTACAAAGATGATCTCTGGATAGTCTGACTTGCTTTAAAAGAGATTATGTATTTGAGATAATTGTGCTTTGTGGCATTAAGCACCGACCTGTTGATAATAAGCACTGTGCATTTGAATGGAGGCTAAATACATTTTATTCATGTGAAGGGGAGATTGAATGGAGGGGGGGGGGGAATTAATTACAGACCAAAAAAAAAAAAAGCTTGTCCTTTAATCCTCTAAATTTGGGCAGTGTAAATGGCCTTGCTGCAATAAGCAAGCATCCTGTAATGTGCTTTATTACCAGGCACTGAAATGGGCTTTTATTAGTGGTACAAGGGTTTGAAAATCGCTCACTGAAGCTCTTGCGTGCCATTCACAGGCTATGGAGTACTCAGGGGTTCCATCTGTGACACTAATAGTAGGCTGTGGTCTTTCCTGCCTGGCCTTGATCACTCTGTCAGTGGTGTATGCTGTTCTATGGAGGTAAGTGCATAGACGTACAAGAGATATTACAAATAATGCACTTTGCACTTTTGGAGGAATGCAGCTTTAATGAACAATTTGTTTTTAGGTACATCAGGTCGGAGAGATCAATCATTCTGATCAATTTCTGCCTTTCAATCATCTGCTCCAACATCCTGATCCTAGTTGGACAGACACAGACACATAATGCGGTAAATCTTTAAATTTGATCTCTAATGTGTTTTACTCGAATAGTGCCAGATTAGATTGAAATTTCGATATAGGCCACCAAGCATTACTGGATGTTGATTTGTATTTGAACAAAATGTCCACTCTGGATTCTCATATATTTATTTCTCGGCTTGCATGTGGGCTGATTTTGCAAGCTTGTCTTGAATGCCAGACATCTTCTCTGCACTAATATTATGCCGATCTAAACGTTTCAGGGTTTATAATGCAAATGAAATGCTGCTTTTACTTAGAACTTGTGGAGATCTCTCTGTCTGCTGTTTGTATATCCTACCACCCCACCAGATTTGTTTTAATTCCTCTATTTTGAGGCATTGTGACTCACTTAAATTCAAGCTGGCTGCCCTAATTTTCTCGCAAGTGACCTACCTACCTATCCAGATGTTCGAGTATTTGTGTAGTGAGCTACATATTCTGTTATATGCTATATTGTTGTGTTTGTATGAACAAATTGCATTCTTTTCTTGTGGTAAGCAATTTATGTACTGTAAATATTTTTATATGGTTATATTTTCATACTCACATGCTGATTAGACACTGGTTTGTGCAAAGAAACAGTTTAGGTTCATTTTGCAACTTCTGGCTAATGAACTGCTTGTTGTAGATCAATTTAAAATGAACCTAAATGAGCCGGATGCTTATTTTTAAAGGCATGGATGTATTTAGAAGATTTGTATTTGAGCTAAAGAAGCGCAATTTGTTATATGATTGCATTTGGATTGTATTGTTCATTTGAAATATGTCAGACAAAATAGTTTCTTCCGTGCATTCTCACCATTGTTTATCAGTATACTAGATTATATATGAGTCTTAAATTAGTACTCCACAAGCCACAGAAGTTATTTTTAGCGAATGAGTACATTGCTCTTTGTCCAATGCCAAGGAGAAATGATGATGATGCCTCTATGTTCTGAGCCGCTAAATACATTAGCCAGAATTCAGCTGGCTGCATTCTGAATTATACAATGAAAATGCAACATGGACAGACACAGGTCCGAGACACAAAATATTGTGTCTATATAAACCACAAATAGAATAGATGTGACTGTGAACTTTTTGTTGCATGTAGTTCCTCAAACAAGAGACAAAACCCCAAAAATGCACGTTTGAATTATTGACATTGTTACATGCGGCAGATCGGTTGTTTTAACGTCAAAATCCCAGCTATCCTAACCTATTTCCAAGTAGTCAGCTTCCCTAAAGGCTAAACAGTCTTTCATCATCAAACAGGTTTTTTGGTTGAGCGAAGATGCTGTTCAGTTAGGGAAGCAGGGATTGAGCATTGTCTGTTTGATACATTGCATTATTTGCAAGAGTTTCAATAAAATTGATCCTGTATATGTTGAGGATCAGTAGATATGCATCACAGTAAACTTGAAGCAAAAGTCCTTTAGTGTTCACAGTCCAAATGGTTCAGTTATATAACAGTCTCTCTGCAATACCCACATGAATCTGAACATTTGGTGCCATTGTGAATGGAACATCTAAAGTTCAGGATCCAGGTAGGGTAAAAGCATTTTAAAGCTCTTTACATGTCTGCAATTAGTTTTAAAAAAGGACTAAATGGGCTCCCAGCTAAAATGCTGAAAAAGATTTTTCCAGCTCACAGTGAGGAGATGGTGTATATAAGTCATTCAGGATGTAATTATAAGATGCAGATACTGATCAGTGGATGCTAGAGTCAAATTTTCTCACATTCACCATTTCAAATTCGACATCAGAGATGATTGGATATGGGCAATTGCAGAACTTCGGAAGAACAGAGATTAATTATTCACTCACACTTACAAACGACGCTCATTTGCCCTCATTTGAGTAAACAAGATAAAAGAGGTTGATTTCTCACTGCTTACAAGCTTGTCAGGACTACTAGCACAGCTGGTAGTTTTTGGTTATCAGAGGAGGGTTTACACGTTATTCCTACACTGCCCACACAGATAGGGCTTCTGAGTGAGTCAACGCCGTTGCGGGAATAGCACATTACTCAGTCACACAGTCAGACATTTCAGTACAGGCAGCACAAGGCATGAGCATTTTCCAAATCTTATTCTAACGAGTGTTCTGGGATGGAAGGAAGTGAAGGTTAAATCAAATTAATTTCCTGTTACAGTAAATGGATCAAAAGATGACATTGACTGTAGCTCCGATTGACTGGCGTTCCTCTGACTGCACCTTGAGGGTGTATGGGTTATAAAAGCATGCATTTAGGACAAACATAAAGGCTTTAATTAAACTGTTTATTGGCTCTATAAAACATTTTAAAAGGCCAATGTTTTCTCTTTTATAGTAATGTTTCTGGAAATTATTCGAATTATTTATTATTTAATTAAAAAACATGATTAAATACTTCCATGGAACAAAAATAAGCATTGCTATTTAAAAAAAACAAAAAAAAACAAGAAAGAATATATATAATAGATCAAATTCATACAACTGGATGGTTACAGGCATGTGCATAAGACATCGACACCTGCACAGAAAACAGTCCCATACACTGTCATACACAGCAATGCTTCTTCAGGTATAGATTGGTTGTAAGACAGAACATTCCTGTTAAAAAAATATAAGGATTTTGAAGGAAGACTTGGCAGCATGCAGTAAAATGTTCTCTCCATTTTTAATATTTTAGAGACTCAGTAATTCTAAAACAGTCTTTGAAACAATGAAAACAGAGGTTTAATTTAAAAGCACTTTTATGAATGTAAAACTGTACAACGAAAAAGTACTCAATAATTAATTTAAGTAATGTACAGTACATTACTCATATTAATTATTGAATATTTTTTCTTTGCACAGTGTAAAATTCACTTTTTTGTATGAATGTGTTTTAGTTTCTTTCCCCCCATCCATGACGTTGGATGAATATCTTCACTAAGCGCATTGCGGTGCCTTGTTCGTGAACACTATATGTGATACTGTCTTTAGAATGTAGCCAAAATTAGATATTTTTGAAGGCAGAATAGTTTTGCTGCCTACATTTTGGAACAGCTTTTGAGTTTGGGAGCATGCCTACAATGCCTGAAGGTTTTGGAACAGAGCTTTGGTGGGTTGCTTGCCCTTAAACATGCCATTTACATTGTTTTATTTTGTATTATACATGCATCTGCTTTGGCTTGTTGTGGTACAATGTATCGTTATTGACGTAATTATTCTAAGAACGTACAGCGCAAGTCTTGATGACAGCAGTGCGGCAGGTCCAGTCTGCCATTAATGGACCATAATTACATCTGGACCTCTGCTCTGTCCACATCTAAGGTATCAGTACAGCATTTTAAACGATCAGTGTGTCTGTGTTACCATGACAATAAAATGTCATTCTCTAGTGTGTCACTATCTTGCCAGTTTTTTTTGCAGCCATTTGCCACGCTCTAAAGCAGCAATTTAGAGTAATTCCTGCTTCATCACGCTGGTGAAGAATATGTGTTTCAGAGGGTGCAGGTTTTCGCCTCCAGATGGAGGTCGCACATATGACGTGATGGTCATGCGAGGAAGAGCACTCGGCCTGCGGTTTCTTCAAATGCTGAGCTGAATTGAAGGCCTGTCAGTGCTGATCATACACACTGCCATCTTCTTCTTTAATTCCACACCACATCATTTAGCATGAGGGAGGGTTCAGCATTTCTCCCAAATGACTGCAAATATGCATTTCTATTTGTGTATTGGAAATGAAACGACATTGACCCGTCCACACCCATCATTATATGCAAAATCTGTATTACAGAATTTTTTTTTTTTTTTTTTTGTGGAACAAAGGGTTGACATCCTCATTGCATCAAAGATGTAAAGCGTTTCTGCTATCCTCCCACGAAATGATTAAGGCGCTGACAACAGTTTAGTCCCCTGTCAGTAATTTAAAATGTGCTTTTCTTTTTTCTGGTGTGTGGATCTTCATAAGCTTTGACTAATGGCAGCTATGAAAGTAGACATGCTTATACCTCGTTCTATTGGATTGCGGGGTTGTTACTGAATCAAACAGGTTTTTGGACTGAAATACAAAGACATGCAACAAATAGCAAAGAATAGGAACTTTTGATAGATGCTCAATACAAACCCACTCTTAATAAAGGAGCTTGTTCAGCTGAAATGTAGCACAGATATAGACCTTTAGTCAATATGTTTTTTTTTTTTTTTGTGCAATAGACCATTTATGAGACCCATGAGAAATTACGATGTGTATTTTGCTAGTGTGTGTTGAAATGAGAGCTGAAGACATACGGTCTGTGCTGTAATTTTCTTAAGAGAATGAGCCGGACAGATGCAGAGTCTGCACTTATTCCATTAGCAGCACCTAAGGTGTCTTATGGGGCTCTAGGATTATTAAATGGTGCTCTGAGACGTCCTCTTATCTCCCTAGAAAAGGTGCCATTTAATCCAGTGGTGCGTTGTGAAGTGTCCAAGTGCCAGTATGTAGTAGCTGTCAGTGGAAATTAGATTTATATGAACCAGATTTTATTCACTTTAACTTTTACTTTCAATTTAAAGTTAGTCAAACTTAAAAAAAGAAGTGTTAAAGGAGACTTTTCAGGTATGTCAGCCTTCAATTATCTGAGTGGAGTTTGGATCATTTAATTGAACTGAGGTTTGGCAGCCACAGTATCTATCTATCTATCTATCTATCTATCTATCTATCTATCTATCTATCTGGCCGTCCGTCCGTCCTGTCCTATCATTTTCTATTATTCTGTCTGTCTGTATTTTCCAGCACTAACTGCTGTTAATATCTTATTAATATTTAGAATACATAAAGAATATACAATCTTAAAACCTTTTTAAAATCCTAGGCAAGGCTTTGTCAAGCCAACATGACATGTCTTCTTGACAAACTTAGTTTTTTCTAGTTACAGTTATTTGAATTTATTTGAATTTCAATTCATTTTTAATTGCTATTCTGCAATTCAGTTAAAATCCAGCAATTAAACTGGAATTCAAAAGTCAGCTTTGTATGATGCACAACCATTTTGAA